CAGTTTAAAAGGTGAATTTAGTAGTTAGGGTACTCCAACCCACAAAATTGTAAGTGAACATATGTAATATCCGCCCACACCTTTGCGGAAATCATAAAACCCACCACTAGCACCCGACAGCATCAACTTCGTGCTAGTGGCGCAGCCCAAATCTGTAGATGGAGGGGCACAAATTACAAATATATATCAACACAAAAATATAAAATTAACAATACAAGAATATGATTAGAAAAAGAACTATAAAATTAAAAAAAATGGATAAAAAAAAACACTTTTGAGTTAAGGTAAAAAAGAGTGAGAATGAGAGAAATAGGTAGAGAGAGAAGCAAGGATGCAGGCACCGGACAGCAACGATGGGTTAGACGGAAGGCACTGAATAGAGAGTATGAATGACCAAGAGATAGTAAGTGACAATGGGGGATGGAGGGCACAAAGCATGGAGGACAAAGTAGACAAAAGCAGACGAATATGGAATGGGGATATGACAAGGGGTTATACAAGCAGGCTACGGTTTTCTTCTTTACCAATTTCCCCGACAATTGGAGCTACACAGAAATGTGGTGGACTTTTGGGAAATTCAGTAGGGTGTATGCTATTTACAGTCCTCAGAGAAGAAGCACAAATGGCAGGAGATTCAGGTTTGTTAGGTTCTTGGAGGTAGTGTCATAACTCGAATTTTAGTAGAATTTTTTTTTTTTTTTAACTAATATGTTTTGTCTTTGTTTTACTTGTTAGGTTAATTCAAAAAATGGGGGGGCAAAAAAGAAATTTTACGAAGAAGATTGGAAAAGAAGATGAGAGAAAGGACTCAATTGAAGAAATGGAAAGTTGGAGGGGTGAAATGCAAAGTCTAGCCCAAAACCCATCAAACCCAAACCAAAACCCAAACTCAAACCCAATTACCCAAAACCCACCAAAATCCAAAGCCTACCAACTACCCAAGCCCAAAATCCCAAAACCCATCTAACCCAAACCCACCAAAACCAAACTAAAAAAAAAAACCCAAAGAACCATAAAAAAGAAAAAAAAAAGGGGAAGGCATCTCGAACCTTCCCCTTCTTATATTTTTTTTTTTACTTTTCTCTTTCTTGAACCACCCCCTTGCCGCCTGCAACCAGCCCTGCGCACCAGCACCCCTGCCCAGCGCCCCTGCTCTGCATCCTCACTCGAGCCCGGTTTGCTGTCCAGACCCCTAAACTAGCCATCATCACACCCTCGCACACCTGCAACCTGCCCTGCACCGAGCCATCATCGCCCCCTCGTATGCCTGCAACCTACCCTACACCGAGCCATCATCGCCCTCTGCTGCACGCCTGCGCCCATGCACGCCCTGTTATAGATAAGGATTATCAGAATGAAAAAAAACAGATAGTTCTGAGGCGTGATCTCACTCTCCTTAAGGATTCAAAAATCCTCCAGGATACAACAGAACTCAAACTCTCTCAAAAACTAGATGTAGAACTTTGACTTTGCATAGGAATTTATATTGATTGAAAGCCACTACTTGTAGGGATGTATCACTTCAGAAAGATACCATTTCATAGAGGTACCTTTAGACTTCCAAACATTATCCAATATTTGACTATATATAAAGGGCAAGGCCCAATTTATCTTGGGCTTCACTTTATTTATCTATTTGTTGATAACAAATAAGCCTTTATAAATTCCTTTAACTTCCCATATTTTCTTGATGTGGGACCTTAACATTTGCAAACTACTCAACACGCCCGTGCCTTGCACTCTGCTACACCTGCACTTGATCCTGCACTCCTGCTTCTGCCAAAAAGTCGGATCCTCTGCCTCCTGCACACCCCCTGCCTTTTGCGGCCCCTTGCATGTTGTTGCCAATCCTGTGCGCCTACATGCCTAGATTTGCACTCATCATCCCTCCTCTGCCAAAGCCGATCTGCACTCATCACCTTGCCTTTTCCCCGAACCAATCACTTACGCCCAATCGTGCAATCCCTGGCTGCAACGCAATCCTGCAACCTGATCTGGTACCTGCTCTGGTTGTCCGATTCTCCTTGGCAGCAAGATGAAGCTCGGTCCTTGATGGGTATAAATAGAGGGTTTTGGTTAGAAGGTAAGGGGTTTTTTGGCTTGTTTTTGAAGGTGGTGTGGTGTTGACGAAGGAGAACATTTTTTTGGAGGTCGACGGTGATTGAAAAGAGGCTTATTTTTCTGTGTCTGTTTCTTGCTTGCTTTAGGTAATTTTCTAAACAGAGGGATTTTTTTGGGAAGGGTAGTGATGGAGACGAATGGAGTGTGATCTCGTGGGTGGGATCCTGTAAGGGCAAGTCAGAGGTGCTCAACCTCGGACGTACGATAGTAATTCTTTTACAACTAAAAGTGAGGAATAGATCCAGAGCTTCCCGCTCAAACAGCAGCATAGCAGTTACGATGGACATCCTCACATCAAATCCCGAATATCTTGTTTGGCTCAATCTCCGGGTCCCAAAATAACTGCTTGGAGATACGCATCAAATCTCGAAATAACTGCCTGGAGATACACATCAGATCCCGAATATCTTGCTTGGCATGCCACGTGGTTTCTTCATGGGAACATATAAATACCCCTCAAGGGCCACGCCAAAAGGTAATTGAAACCAACCCTAAACTCCTTGTTTCTCCGCTTCAAAGGTAGCCCCGATTATTGCTGACTTAAGCATCGGAGTGTCTACCCCGACGATCCACCTCGAGGCTTTGCAGGTCAATCCAGAGTGTAGATACGGACTGAAGAGGAACTTCTGGTTTGGTGCAGTTACAGATCCCTTCTTCTAATCCTGATCTGTCTTCTCCAAAAATTCCCGCTTTGTTCGTTTCAATTTTTTTCAAATCTTGATGTATTGGAGTTGTGTTGGATGATGATATTATGAATAGAATCAAGCATGCTCTGTTGAGTTTCATGGATCTATATATTTGTTTTCTTTTGTTTGTTTAGTTGAATGGCTGAATAGGAACTTTAAATTCCATTTTGTTTTTCTGTCTAGATTTTAATCTGTTTTTCCTTATTTTTGGTTGATAGTTCGTGTTTTGGGGCAAGTATATGTATATATATATACATAAACACTAAAAAAAAAACTAACTAAAAACGTTAAAAAAATAAGTAAAAAAAATGTAAATAAAATGATAAATTGATTATGATAATTAGTTTAATATGTGATTAATAAAGTTAATTAATTTTAATTAGAGTGAATTAATTGTGTTTATTTCTTTAATTTGATATAATTAGATTCACTTAATTATCTTGATTAGAGGTTAATAAATATGATTAATTAATTTTAATTAATGATAAGTTAGTCATTCAATTGAACTAATTATCATAATTAAGTAATTTTAAATCTTCTGTTTGCCTTAATCTTGTTTAAAAAAAAAAATCAAAAGTTATCTCTTTTATTTCAATTTCACATAAAACTTTCATATTCAAGCATTTTAGTCCAAAAGTTTCAAACCTTTTCAAATCAGTCTTTTATTTTTAGTTTAATCAAATCAGTCCATTTAATTTTTATTTGTGCTTATTGTGCATACATATCTTTTATTTTGTCCATTTTAGTCCAAAAATTAAAAAATATTTCAATTTGGTTTATCCCTTTTTAGTTTCCCTATTAAAACTTAAACATAAAGATAATAAATAAGTTGAATTAAAACCCCCAATGTTAAAGTATGCAACCATGCCGTGTTTAAACGGAGGATTGTGAGTTGCGTGTATGCCCTTCTTTACTTCTAACCGAACCCCCGAACCTCGATCTTTGCGCAAATTCGTTTTAGGTGACTTGTCTCACCTTATAATTTGGACGAGTGACGACCCTCTTTTCTTTTATATTTTTCACAATTGATTTTTCATTGTTTTGAAATCTTAAGTGGTCGTCAACAGGTAGAGAATGCGATGGCCATGGAGAACCAACTAGATTAGATTCAAATCGAAGGTCACAAAATCTGGGTAAATTTAGCCAAATACCTGGTGGAGGAAGCTGAGTCTAGGGAGATTAGGAGAATTACAAACACAAGCTCAGTTTTACATGGGAAAACTTATGCTGATGTAGTCAGAGGACAGCAGGAAAAGAATTCTGGGAGATCAGAGCACCATCCAATGGAGAAAAGGCTAACTTGCGTTTATAAATATGATAAAAGAACAGAGGTACACAGACAACCTCAACAATGACAAACATGGGGAAGGAAGAACAGAGATGTGGAGTGGTCAGGTGTTGAGTACAATGTCAAGGAAGAAGACTATGAGTGGCTATATGGATGTTATGTTGGAACAACCCGCTTTATAGAAATTATCCTGAATCTACAAGAAAAGCTCTACATGGAAGGTTATTTCTCATGTCAACTCTGAGCTATGGGGGGAAGCTGGTATTAATGGACTATGAGGATAAGGAGGAACTAAAAGAGTTAGTACAGGGGCTACGGACTGGCTAGGCCAATGGTTCACAGATTTTCAACCTTGGACACCTACAGCAATGGCAAAAGAAAGATATGTATGGATGAGATGCTAGGGCACCCCACTACATGCTTGGGGGCCAGAGTTTTCCGAGTCAATGGTAGTGAAATGGGGAAATTTTGTTTGCCTGGATGAAAACACAAGCAGGAAAAGAAGGTTTGATGTGGCTAAATTCCTGATATCCACGCAAATTATGGATTCAATATCAATTAAGTGAAGAATCAAAGTTAATGGAATCATGTATGATTTGAAATTCATGTAAGAGGAGATAACAAATAGTTTGTTCTTAATGAGATATGATTTCATGCCAAATTTCAACACTGATTTAGATTATTAAGAATCATGGTCGAATTGCAATGAATTGGAGATCCAACGTGAAAAAGATGACTGGGATGCTGACTTGGAATCGCCCGTCGACGGAAAAGGAGAAGAAGGAGAAAATAAGGAATTAAGTCAAATTGATAAACGGTCGATTGCCACCCCACAGAACGAGGTAGAATTTGAATTTGAAGAAGAAGGATATGATGTGAAAGGTTACAAACTAGTGGAAAGCTTTCCCTATAGCCGGTTGGGAGAAGAAGAATCAGTAGAGGTAGTAGTTGACACTTTTGATATGTTTCTAGAAGCTAATGATTTGGGAGGTAGAGAAGAGGTTGGGTTATATGAAAATAGGCTACAAAAAGAGATGACCACAAACCCTATAGAAAGTTCAGCTGATAATGACTTGGGCTTGCAGGATGAGCCCACTATAGAGGCTCCACGCCAAGCCCATAAAGGTGAAAGGGGAGAGGTGAAGGACAACTAGACCAGTGAATTGAAGGATTGCAACAAAAGCACAGAAAAAGAGTCCAGGATTGAACATAGATCTGAAATGCAAAATCTGCAATAGAAGAAAGGAAAGCAAAAATAGGGGATCCGTCGGGAAACAACAAAGAGTTTTGGGCAGACCTAGAAAGCGAAGAAAGAAGCGAAAAAGGGTGGATGGTAGCAAGAAACAAAGTTGGCAAAAAAAGGAGAAAGAAGAGAGCAAAATCGTGCAAATTTGTGTACCAAAAAGCAAGTCTTCAATGATTAATGGGTCAGAGAAAGAAGAACAAAGCCAGAGAAAGAGCGAAGGAAGCATGGAGAGAAGGAATTTTGAGGTTTTTGCTAGGAATAAGTAGCTCAATTGCAAGGGGTTCTGTTGGAGATAGTGGTATACAGAATTACAATAGATTGCTGAAGGAACACCCTAGTCAGAGAATTGCAGAAGATTTGTGGGATTTTGCAAAAAAAAATTGGGGTTGTTGCTGAGAACGAGGAGCCAATCATCACCAATCTTGAGGAGATGGAGATGCAAGATAGAAAGGCAAAGGAAACGGAGTGCTCAAAGGACTTAGGGAAAAAATAGAAGGTTAGTGAAACAGAACCATGAATATCTTATCTTTTAACATTAGAGGTTTGGGTGGTGCCGGAAAGAAAAGACAGTTAAGAGAATTAGTGAGTAGAGAAAAAGTGGATTTTTTAGTTATACAAGAAACAAAGATGACAGGGATTGATAGAAGAACATGTAAAATAGTGTGGGGTTCAAACGACTTTGAATGGGTAGCAAAGGATGCATGTGGAATGTCTGGAGGTATACTTTGTTTATGGAATTCAAAATCTCTCACAATGACTAGAGCTATAGAGGGTGAGAATTTCATAGGAATATAAGGGGTATGAGGTCCTGAGGGGGTTGTGGTTTCTATCTTAAATGTGTACTCCCTGTGCCATTTACCAGGGAAGAGAGTTATGTGGGTAGAGCTAAAAAACCTAGTATTAACAAGAGAGAGTAATTGGTGTATTGCGGGAGATTTCAATGTAGTAAGAAAGGAAGAGGAGAAAAAGGGAAGCAGAGGTATTACTAATGAGATGAGAGAGTTTGATAACTTTATATAAGAAGCAGCATTGATTGATATTCCACTAGTGGGTAGAAAGTTCACCTGGTACCAGCCTAACAGGAACAGTATAAGCAGAATTGACAGATTTTTACTATCTGAAGGGTTGTTGACGAAGTGGAGTAAAGCTAGACAATGGGGTCTAAGTAGAACAGTGTCAGATCATTGCCTAATCTTACTTAAACACAAACATGTTGATTGGGGCCTAAGCCATTCAAATTCTTTGATGCATGGCTTCAACATAAAGGTTGTAGGGACTTGATTAAAGAAGTGTGGGGAACAACAAATATTCAAGGGTGGGCAGGATTCTTACTCAAGGAAAAGCTAAAATTGACTAAGGAAGCTTTGAAAAGATGGAGCAAAACACTACTCCCAGACATAGACAACAAAATAAGAAAGGCTATTATAGAGATAACACAAATTGATATGAAAGGAGAAGAGTAACAACTATATGAGGAAGAAATCATAAGAAGAAGAGAGGACTTTCTTCTTGTTTGGGAAAGCATGAAGACCAAGGAAAGTACATTGCAGCAGAAATCTAGAAAGGCATGGTTGATCAATGGAGACGCTAACACAAAGTACTTTCATAAATGCGTCAAGGGCAGATGGAGAAGGAATGAAATGACCTCTATACAAATCAGAAGAGCACAATTGAGCGTGTCAGCAGAATGAAAGATGAGATTGCTTCCTTTTTTGAAGGCATATTCAAAAAAGAACAGTGGCAAAGACCAAAGTTAGATGGGGTGAGCTTCAAGCAAATTCAACAAGCGGATAATGACTTTCTCGTTAGACCATTCAGCGAGGAAGAGATTGAGGTAGCAGAGTGGGAGTGTGATAGCTTGAAAGTGCCAAGACCAGATGGGTTCAATTTTGGTTTTGTCAAAAATGAGTGGGAGTTAATAAAAGAGGATGTAGTTGGATTCCTACATGAATTTCATAAAAACGACAAGCTGGTAACAGGACTAAACACTTCTTTTATTGTCCTTGTGCCAAAAGTGCATAACCCACAGAAGATAAAGGAATATAGACTCATTTCCCTTATTGGTGTAATGTATAAAATCCTTACAAAGCTTCTAGCTAATAGGTTAAAAGAGGTCCTTGATGGGATTGTCGGTGAACAACAGATGGCATTTATTAGTGGAAGGCAATTAATGGATAGAGTAATGGTTGCAAATGAGGTGATTGATGAAGTAAAAAAGAAGAAGAAGAAAACATTCATGTTCAAGATTGATTTTGAGAAGGCGTATGATAAAGTCAGCTAGAAATTCCTCGATTATATGATGCAACAGATGGAATTTTGTGGAATCTGGAGGAATTGGATCATGGAATGTTTGAGAACAAGTCTTGTGTCAGTACTAGTCAATTGGCAGCCCAACAAGACAGTTTATAATGACAAGAGGCCTTAGGCAAGGGGACCCCCTATCACCCTTCCTATTTTTAATCATTGTAGAAGGCTTAAATGGACTAATTTCAACTGCAACACAGAAAGGGTTATTGGATGGAGTAGAGGTGGGAAGTAGAGGCTTTAAAGTTTCACACCTACAATACACAGACGACACAATTCTGTTTGCTACAACTAAAGAAGAAAATGTGTGGGCAATGAAGGGCATCTTGAGAGCTTTCAAACTTGTCTCGAGCCTAAAGATTAACTTCAACAAAAGTCATTTGATTGGCATATATGTGCAAGAGGACTGGCTTAACAAAATGTCATGGGTGCTTTGCTACAAAAAAGGTGTTTTACCATTTAAGTACCTAGGAATTCCCATTGGTGGAAGTTGCAGAAAGAAGGCCTTTTGGAAACCATTGGTGGAAGTATTCTCTAAAAAGCTATCTACATGGAAGGGTCGGTACTTATCTCTTGGTGGATGGATTACTCTTATTAATTTAGTGCTGTCTAGTCTCCCTGTGTTCTGGATGTCAGTGTATTTGATCCCAAAAGGTACAATTCTAGTACTTGACAAAATTCACAGAAGATTTCTATGGGGTGGGGTTGAAGGAGAAAAGAGAGTCAATTGGGTAAAATGGGAACATGTCTGTAAAGATAAAAAAACAGGGTGGTTTGGGGGTGAAAGATTTGAGAAAGTTCAACATAGCCCTATTAGGCAAATGGTGGGGAAGATAGTCATGGCAGAAAAAGGGCTTTGGAAAAGAGTCATTTGCAAGAAGTATGGATGGGAAGGGGAACCGAGCTTCAATTGGTTGAGGGAGAGAATAAACTATAGTTTAACTTGGTGGAGGGATTTAAGTATATTGAATGAAATTGATGAGGAAAAAAGGGGATGGCTAGTGGATGGGTTGGAGCTAAAAGTAGGGGAAGGGTTAGACATTAGTTTCTGGTGGGACAAGTGGTGTGGGGATGGGTGTTTAGCTAACAAATATCCTAGACTTTACTTGTTTTCTGCAGGGAAGGACAATAAGATCTCACAAATGGGAGGTTGGCACAACGACTCTTGGAAATGGCGTCTACAGTGGAGACAGAACTTGTTTAGCTGGGAAGAACATTAGAAATTAGAGCTCCAAAAGGAGATAAAGGAGACAACAATAGTAAGAGGAAAACCAGATAAAAGGATATGGATCTACAATAGAGATGGAAGCTATACAACAAAATCAACGTACCAGGCACTTATAATAGAGCAAGGAAGTAGATAACAAAGTTCGGTTCTACAAAAAGCATGGAATCCACTCATATGTAGTAAAATTTCAGCATTCTCTTAGCAAATGCTAAAAGATAAAATCCCAACTAAGGTCAATCTGCTGAAAAGAGGTATTTTACAAGATATTGACGAGTGCAAATGTGAATTTTGTGGTGCAGGGGAAGAGGACTCCAACCATCTTTTCATTCAATGCAAATTAGCACATGAATTGTGGTCAACATGCTACAAATGGTGGGGAGTTAGAACAGTTACTAACAGAGATTGCTAGAGATTTTTTGAACAACACTCCAATAAGCTGAAAATAGAGGGGGAGGAGGGATGGGAATGTATATGGTTTGCAGTGATATGGACAATATGGTTGGCTAGAAATGAGAAATTATTCAAAGGAAAGGAGGTGGACAGAGGAAGGAAATTTGAGCATGTACAACTCAGGGCCTTCAGCTGGATAAAGTGCAAGAAGGGCGACTATTTCTTCTTCCTATCAGATTGGATCCAAAATCCTGCAAGCTGTTTGAACATCAGTCACAACAGTAGAAGGAAAATTAAGAAATGGCCAACAAGTAAATAGCTTGCGTAACTTTTAGAGAAGGACCCATTTCTTTTTGGTTGACTAATACAATTGGGTGAGCCCTATGTTGGTTAAAAGCTAAAATGCTTGTAATGGGTTTAGAGTTCCCCTTGTACTTTAAAATATTCAATAAAATTAATTTTGCTTTTCAAAAAAGAAAAAAGTGGATAAAATCATTTTTCAATAGGTTAACGTAGTAGTCATTTCTCTATTTTGATTCACCGAACGTAATAATGATGTAAAAAAAAAACAGTATGGATATGAATTGGAGTACACTCGAATTCAATATATTATATAATATTAAAAAATTATTATTTTTAATATAAAATTA